TAGAATGTATTATTGGGTGATAAATATGTTTAATAGTAACATAGTATGATTTTCAATATAATGTTCATACGTATCTGAATTTTTTTTTAAACATAAAAAAGTATGATTCTAAACACAATGTCCATATATCTAATGCTGATGATTACACTTTGAACTCCATCCTCAATGTCATGAAGAGTATGTCAGATGCAGAAGAAGATGTGGTGTTTCAGTATATCAGGAAATGTGCCATAGGTTAGTCTTTATATATATCTTGTTTTTATGTTGTCTTCATAAACAATGTTTTACTCTAGGTAGAATTATGTAAAAAAAAATGCTCTAGGAATACCTTACTGAACAGGCATTTACTAAACCTTAAAGATTATTTCATATCTAAAATAAAAGCACTAAATTTATCGAGATACTTCCAGCGATGTTTGTTTGTTGGGTTTGTTTTGTTTTGTTATCATTTTTTGTTGCGATTTTCATTGGGTTTTACAAAAACATAGATATGGTCCACGAAGAGAGAAATTTTACAATAGAAAGAATTAAGTGTGCTGGATATTGAGCATGCAAGACAAATAGATTTTTTGAAATGGCAATTCCTAAATCATTTCATGTGTGTAGTTGTATTTCTCGTGCTTATTACAAATATCGTACTTTCATATGACCTTATTATCCTGGGGGAACGAGAGAAAGAGAAATGGGGTTTAACGCCCACTCGACTCAAACTAAGTCATTTCGGGACTAACATGAGGTTTTAGTTTTATTTCAATAATTCGCTTGCGTGTAGGGGTCTTTAGCAGTGGGAGGAAACCGGAGGACCAGGAGAAAACCCACGAGTTTGGACATGCGACCCTACTCCTGTCACGTACAACCGGGGAATCGAAACCCCACCAGTTGACTCAATGACAGACCGTATGATACAGCACGCACGTGCTACCCTTCGGCGATCCAACACCCCTATTATCCTGGAGGAACTATATTTTTAATTAAATTTTATGAAGGTGATAATATTAATTTTATCAAAATCCCAATTCCAGATGGATATCATCAGAATCGCCAGAATAGAGGACGTTGGTCTCACAGACCAATTGTAAAAGATGGTACATCAAGAATATGTAAAAATCCAAACACAGCGGTCGTGTTTTATTTATTACAGTTATCGTGTTTTGTTTATTACAGTAACCGTGTTATGTTTTTTGACTAACTTCCCGTCTTCATTGACGCAGCCGGAGCAGAACATTTCATTTCTTTTATTACAGTAATCGTGTTTTATTTATTACAGTAATCGTTCTATGTTCATAATCATGATTTGTTTATTAATCGTGTTTTGATTATTACAGTAATCGTATTTTGATTATTACAGTAATCGTGTTTTGTTTAATACAGTAATCTTGTTTTGTTTAATACAGTAATCATGTTTTGTTTATTGCAGTAACTGTGGTTAGCGTATCTTGGGTAAGAAAATATATGTTATTAGCTCACGGTCTAGGAATGACAATGAAGAATTCATCTTTTTTTATCTTAACATATGGTCTAGCCTATTTCCCAAGGACATCTTTTTTTTCTAATTTACGATACATTAGCAAGACAAAATTGTAGATAAATAATTAGTCTGGCGCTAATTACACGACAAACTTGGTTTCACGACATTCCTTTAAGATAGCACTGACTTATAATATATTGGTAACAAAGTTGACCGCAGAAAGTATGATGTAGCTTTGTACAAGAGAGAGAGAGAGAGAGACGTCGTCAAATATAGATGTGTCTTCAAACGTCACTTAAAGATGCCTAAATTTTTTGATTCTTTTGTATCTAAGGATAGAGAATTCTAGAGACCTATGTAATTAAATCCACGCAACTCTCGAGCTTTATTAATCGCCCGTGATAAATGATTCGTATATTAAAGTAGCTAAGTCTCTAACTCAGTATCACCAAAGTCTGACACGTTGAAAATACGAATTATTTGTCAAATCAAATCAACATTGATGTTGTTATCTTACAAGGAAAAGGTAGGCTTCTGATATCCAATATTTAAGTCCAAACAGAAACAATTGAATGTAAATCAGTTAATATACAATCAGATTACATTATTATATGCGTTGCGACCCATTTTAGTCAATTTCTAGGTCCCAAATATTAGCGATTTACCTCCTTTAAAGTAAATGAAATGAAATAGGGTTTAGCGTCCTACTTGTGCGCACCGACTGCGCTAATTAAGACGGACATACGCCAGTGGCGCTATGGATTACTCTTATTTCGAATTCCAACTGTCAAAGATTCTTTTACGTACTCCCAATCCGAACACCAACACCAGGAGCGAGGCCGATGTGTACACGGGGAACTCGATGTTTCGTCCCAGTCCGAACGCCAACACGTGGATCCCTTATCACTTCATAAATGGATAAGAAGCCTCCGGTAATTCATGTTGTCGATAGCTGAAACATATATTTACCTATATTACTATTGGCCGGAATTATTTAACACGGTTTTTGTGTAATAAAATCCACACGATTTTCACAAATAAATCAAGGCGTCGCGTTAATGGAGGTGTGATAAATTCTAACATCCTAATTATCTAAATTAAAATGAATGTATCACTTGTTGGTCTCTGGTCTGAAATCTGGTTTATCGCGAACTTTATTAGCCATACGTCCGTGATAAATGATTCTTAGACTGAAGTAATAATATGTTTTCCTTTAACGTTTCGACTAGGCTTCTCGAGTCATTATCATTAATAAGCAGTAATAAGCAGTAATTGTATTACATAGACTTGTGACCTGTTCAATTACTAAATGCCTTTGAAACAATTTATTTGTCAGTTGCCATAAGGGCTACTGAAATGATTGTGCAGCTCGAGTGTTGGATTGAATGGGGTTAAGCGTCTCGTCAACATAACACGTGCTAAATTTATTGTATATCTATAGTTAAATGCTCAATACCACTCTTGTTGTAACTGAATAATATGTCCCAATCTTCATTCTGGTCAACAATATTCCAATTAATTGATGATACAAATTTTATCTTAACACACCTAATTTAAAAAATTGGAAAAATTCAACTAAATGAACCCTTTGGACAAGTAAAATAGGATTTAATGGATAATTTACACAACAGGTAGGACACTAACACATCTAGAACTTAGAATAAGGCTATTTTTTAATTTTTGGAGCTGTCAAGCCAGCAAGAGTGTTATTGTCCCTTTAAGTGTGTTATTTACTCTTAATAAATAACAACCACGCCAATCCATTTCAGATTTCAAAATGGCCGAATGGTTGATTCCGCAACTATAAACGGGTTATTTTACGTACTAGCCCATGTTTACGAGGGACCTCAAACGGTTTTTCAACCTACAGTTAGAAAAGAAAAAAAACTATGTTTTTAAATAAATCTGTTTAATATCAAATGAGATATATGTACAGGTACAAGAAAATATAAATCAAATCATATTTTATATATAGTTGACAACTGTGAATTCTATTTTAATATTCAAATAATATCACCTTTTAGCACTCAACAGAATAACACGAACGTCTTTGTGATTAATACTTAGAACTTGGCTCACAGTCACAGTGTCATATGTAATGCTAGGGTCTCCACTATCGCGATTCATTCTACGATTGAAATCGTGGTTTTAATCGTAGAGTAAATCTGGGTGATCCTATCAGGTCTTATCATATATTGAGGTCAGTCGTGGCAATCGTGTTGATCGTATCAAAACGTATCCGAACGTACAAGATCGTGGACTCAATAGGGACAATCCTACCGTAACGCACCGCACGACAGTGGGAACCTAACATTACAAAAACATAGTGGACTGCAAATTCTACCGGGAAAGATTTGTATAAAATATATTGGATTTAAGCGAGGTAATACTCGATGCAGTTGTCCTCATTTATTATACGAATGATACTTTTTATGAACCGAATCGTAACGTTAATGGTTAAAAAATATCCAAAATATATTAAAGATGACATATGTAAGATGCAGATAAATAGCTGGCTGTTTTTGCATAATAGTTCAAAAATAGATAATGCAAAATGAATATATCGAAAATTTCATTCAAATTACTTTATTTTGAGCGCAGTTATCATCGTTTAAAGTTTTGACAAGATGTGGCATAGATTGTTTATTATCGTAACAACGGTACTTGGTATTCGAGACTTAGTCTCGCTTCACCATTTTTCAGATAAATCATTAAATTGCAACGGTGTTTTAATTCGTTTATATCTCAAGATTATATGCTTGTCATGTGAATAAATGTATAGGTAATGATGTATAACTTTTGAAGCCTATTTAAAATTTAAATACCTGCAATAGGCCGAGTTAGCTCTTATATAACGCAGCTTTAATGGAGACGCCTTAAATTGCATTGTTACAGAATATATTACTTTTATGCAACCTAAAACAACTATAACTTGTCAGATCTTCATGTAGTGTAGGCCATCGAGAGTATAAAAAACGAAACGAAATATAGATCTGTATTTTAATCAGATTGTATACGAATGATACGTTTTTTTTTTAACCCAACCGTCACATTAATGGTTGAAATAATCTCCAAAATGTATTAATGGAGACGCCTGAAATTGCATTGTTAAAAGAATATATTACTTTGTGAATATATACAGTTGGCCCACTTTTCTTGGTATATTACCTATATACATGATATATACACCCTATAAAAAACTTTATCACAATATCTTAACTTTTTATGATTCTTCATCGAGTTAACGTGGCATTTAGCGACCTCAAATTATACGATACACATAGAATAGAGGCCCTAGGCACTTTAACGTATTTGGTACCCCGATATATATATATAAATCATTATTAATCACACAATATATTTGCATTTGTCAAAATGAGATTTATATACATCATTGATAATTGAGACAAAGCAGGTAACAGTAAGAAAAGATACAAACAATAAAAAACTAATTCAAAGTTCATAATTAATTTTTCAATTAAACATTTTAAATTTTTCATTTAACAAAGCAGAAATTCTGTGGTACCCCTTGTCGTCCAATGATGCCCTAAGCGTTGCTTAGTTTACTTACCCAGCCCTGTATAGACATCCACACTATAACTAAGTGGACAGTCTGAGGCTAGTTATTATCTCCCTTGTGACCTCAATGATAAATCAGTGGCCTATAACACATTTTTTTTAACACTCCGAGGAATTTAATTTTTATACAAAAATAGACCCCAATATGTCACAATCATCAGATAAAAATATTGAAAGGGGATAATAACCACAAGACAATCGCTGAGGATTTAGACCACTAATTCTATCCCCACTGTCAACATTTCATGGCCTGTAACATTCTTTTGAACATTCCGATGATCTTTATAACCCCAAGGAGTCTAATATGTCACAATCGTCTGATAAAAATATTGAAAGGGGTTAACCATTTCGATTATATGCCAAGTCTGATCAACGAAATCTATAGGCAGTGACGTCATTTTAATAGATGATCACCCTAATTCATGTAGGTTTACTGCATGATCCTTCCGCCTCAAAATCATGAAGTTCCCACAAACATGGCAGAAAATGGAAATTCATAAACTCTAGACCAAAATGTCAGCAAAAATTGTCATGCGAAAAGGGGCGGGGTTGGGAAAGAAAGAATTGCTATAAATTCGTCATCATGAGATCAGCAATTACTGAATCGGGTCACTTAGAGTGCTTTGTATGTGTTGTTAAAGCTACCATATAACAGAAACATGAACATGACCGTATTGCATCATTGCACATATTTCTCTGAGACTAGTTTAAACCTGAATCAACTCAACAAAACAACTCCAAATACGAAGTCTTTTTTCCACATCACGATTATCAAGTCATCAAACCGGATATAGGTCGACATTTAAGAGTCTGTGTATTGTCGAAGAATGTGTTAAACAATCTTCTGTTCTAATCGACTTCGTGCACACATCAGACTTCAATTGAGTTTCGTTTCCCGTTATAATTGTTCCGAACATGAAATATACAATCACCCAGGAGACAAGCCATATCACATTTCTATGTATAACACAGTATCATTAAAGGTATCCCTTTTATTTAAAGGACTTCCGTTCATTTTGTGTTGACTTTACGAACACTATAGTTATCGCAGTCAACCACTTTGTGTCTTTAATCTCACTCCAAGTTTCGCAATATTCGAACCTTTATAACATCACGTGTAATAAGGTCAAAATGTAGTGACGTCAACTCGTTTATGACAGAAGCCTTCGTCTCGTTGACGTTTTAGTCCAACCGGTTTGAGTTTGATGTTGTTTAGCGAGTTCTGATTTTCCTCAATGATAATACTTTTTAACGGATACACATAATTATGACTCGGTGGTGGCTCGTCCATCTCTGGTAAAGTTTTATCAAATCCCTGTTTTCCTTCCAGGAAGTAGGTAGTCATTAACCCCTTGCCCTTGACCTCTATCTCACCACGACAGTGTAAATAATATCCACTTTCGTATTCCGATAACATTTCTGCAGAAATACTACTCAGATGAATCTTCAATGCTGAAAAATAAAAATATCACTAAATAATTCGCTCTATTTATCGAGCAATGGACTACGAAGCGATGATTTGACATTGGGATTCAGAAGCCGTGGGCAAAATTTGGACAATTACCACCAACCAACGTGTTTCAATATGACCAAATAGTAGTTAATAAGGCCCTTCTTCTTCTTTGATTGGCATTAGCTTTTTGGAAGGGAGGGAGGAAGGAGGTAAGGCGTGGTATTAGGTGTTCCATTATTCCTTTATAAAATATTACCAAATACTGACAACGAGTTCAATGAGTAGAAATCAAAGATGATTCGCAATTATAAATCTTAGACGATAAAGAATGAAAGAATGAGATACGTACGTGCACCGGTGGATTCCATTCTGGATCCCGTATTGACTGTATCACCGAATAAACAGTATCTAGGCATAGCTAAACCTACTACTCCTGCTACAACTGGACCTGAATGAATTCCTGAAACAAATGTATACAAATATTATTTAGCACATAAATTGATTTTATATAACGAAGGAATGGGTTCACCTAATTATGCAAGAACCCAAAAGTAACATTCTATTTTTGGGCGAAACTTGAAATGAAATGGGACTTTTTTTTCTATCACTATATATTTAATAAATATTTACATATTATAAAGTACAATATATAATTGTGGGATTTGAAAACGAGCCGGAGGCCGGAGCTTATAGAAATTCATCTCCCATAAGAAATTATTTATAAATACATTGTTTAAATTTATAATCATAAATTATATATTGGTATAAAAATACAAAGTAAAAGTGTTTACTTTCAATTAATTAATCAAAATGATAAATATATTGGATATAGTACAAATCAGTTCATATACAGAATGTAGTAGAAACCTAGTGTGGTTAGCGAAACGATTAACTGAGGCTTGACGTCATTTTAATATGTTATCAAGGACATTTGGCCCTTACGATTCCCAAGTGTCAGAGGATAGGGGCGTATTGTACTTTCATTTATAGAGACACGACGTAGGAATGTAGATGGCATGTTTTTCGATTACTGGCTTGATTCATGTCGTAATGAATATTATTGTATTTTTATCATTAGGTTGATGAATGTTGTCATGGAGATACTGTATGTTGGGGATTGAGAGATTGGTGCATTTAGTACGGAAATCGAAACATATTTTACGTATTGAAGCATTGGGTTGATGAATGTTGTTATGGAGACAATGTATGGATTCATAACAATGTTATTATAGAGATACAAAATTATTCTAAGTTTGTTATTACTATTAGGTTGACGTGGTATACTGAATGTTGTTATATAAATACGAACCTATTCTAAGTTTTTAATTAGGTTGATGAATATTGTTATAGAGATACGAACCTATTCCAGTTCTAATTTTTTATTAGGTTGATGAACATTGTTATAGAGATACGAACCCATTCTAATTCCTTTTTTTTTTTAGGTTGATGTAGTATACTAAATGTTGTTATAGAAGATACGAACCTATTCTGATTCTGAGTTTTTTATTAGGTTGATGTGGTATACTAAATGTTGTTATAGAAGATAATAAATCCATAGAACAATCAGCTATTTCTTTTATATGACGATCACCATTTCTTTTCGGTAAACCACTAGCTAACATATAGGCATCCCCAATAGTTTCAACCTGAAAATTAACATTATATATATAATGTTTTGAACAATATTTGAAATGTTTACAATTGTGTATTTAAATTAAAATAGCTTTCGAGATTTTCTTCAGTTAGTGGATACCTTACCATAGATTCAACGTCTATTGATCAATTTGTTGTATTCGTCTGTGCTCATTTGCTTTTGACTGGATGCGACCAGCGACAAATGACGCTTACATATAAACTTAAAGTCTGTTTCATTCTTTTCACTGGGCATTACTGTGTGATATTAGACAAGCTCTTTATGACCGGATAAATACATAGGAAGTTTGAAAAATTAATAATTATCAACTTACTTTATAGACGTCATAGTTGGTGATGATGTCATCAAATAGTGTGTACAAACTGTTTAATAAATTTACGACCTGGGAAAAAAAAGAATTCATTACATTTTTATTTTAAAGTATTAAAGGAGCTATTGTTGTGATACGCATAACAGACTTATTAATGGAGACTATCGGAAACAACGGAAACGGAACTGACAGTCCTGTGCTTCGCATCATGACAGCATGGAGGCAGGCTGACCCTACATGTGCCTATAATAAAAGGTTTATAGGTCATATTTCAGGGATGCCATATGACATAAACTTTATTATGTTAAGGAAAATCTTAAAAAGGAAGAACGTCACCGTTAACTAGCTAGTTTAGCGCATACGATGGTCCGCGGTTTCTATGATAAATTAAGAAAAAAAACAACAATGTTAGGACGTTCTTACCTCTATAGGAGTACTCTCTGAACAGATCTTGGTAAACCCCACAATGTCTGAGAAATAGATCGTCACGTGGTCAAATAATTCAGCTTTTACTGTTTTACCTAATCTTAGATCCTCAGCTACTGACCTACATTATAAAAACAAAGTAAACACATGTGATTCGATTTTACAAATATGAGAGAGAGAGAGAGAGAGAGAGAGAGAGAGAGAGAGAGGGGGCAATCTCGGCTCACAGAGTGAGGTTTACCGATCGTCTCTCTCTCTCTGGGGAATCAGTCTGAATTCGGTTCCTTAGCTCCTTCCCGAGTGGCTCCTGATTGGCTGGATTAGTTTGAACGAAATGATGCCGATTTCTCGACAATTAGGCATCGGTTCGATGCATGAGTTACATATGAATAATCAATGGAACATTTTCCACATCTTGATATCAAACATCAAAATTTCATTTGAAAACAGCCCATTTGATGATTTACCGGGAACTATTTTTAGCGCGCAATGGGATTTTGAGTCGCCATCTTGGATCTTTGTGAAGCGATCGGCGGACGGATACATTATATGACATTCAAAATGGCCGACGTTTCCCCAGAGAGAAACGAACGGTAAACTTCTCTCTGAGAGCCGTGATTGAGAAGAGATGGTCATTTTGGACTAACAAATGCTTCAATTTTATTTCAATAATTCGCTTGCGCATAGGGGCCTTTAGCAGTGAGGGAGGGGGGGGGGGGGGCTGGGGAGAAAATAACGTTACAGAAACAACACTAGTGCATACTCACTGAGGTAACATTCTGTAAAGGAGATTTTCTGTTTTCTTTTTCTCTGCGTCAAGCTCACTGGTTCGCTCGGCTACAAGTTCCTCTAGATGATTAGCATACTTCTCTAACATGGCAATCATATTATCTATCATAGTCTTATGTCTAAAATAAAAAAAAAACAATAAAGGTCAAACACAGTCCATTGTGAACTGGAGTCCGTTTCATGAAAAAGTAAGCTCAGTACAGGGTTCAGTAAGCGAAGCGGATACAGCAAACTGGGCGTATTTCTGTATTCATTGGAACCTTAAAATAGACTAAAATGGGTCAACACACATATATTAATGTAATATGAATATGTATAAAGTGATTTGTATTCAATTTTTTTTATTGTAATTTCTAATCGTTTATGTTCTATGAAATACGTGAACAGTCCAAATTGGGCGGCGGTCGTTTACGCTTGCTTAGTTCATTCTACACGTTTGTTTTATTATTATTTTGTCGTTTGTAAATCAGCCAATACTAATTACTTCTGCCATGTCTTGTAGGATATGTTTTTCTTTGTTCACTACTAATGGCGTCCGAAAGCATATAATACACGACTCCAGTACTGATTTTAAAATGTCCATTATGTCTTAAATATTGGATATTAGGACCCCATATTTTCACAGCAAGATAACCACATCAAAATTGAAATTTAAATTCGTATTTTTAATTTCGAATTGTAATGAAAATACTGAGTTAGAGATTTAGCCCCTTTAAAGTAAACTTTAAATATACATACTTGGAAGGATTGACTCTGTGTAGTGTTTTTAAAACTCTAGAAGGCGATGGTCTAACATTCGGATCGTCTGCCCAGCAGTCTTCTATTAATGACGTCAATTCCACATTCTGACGTACCTCGCGCGACAGGAATGGTCGGAAAAAAGTTCCATGCTGAGAATTTCTTACTTTATTGAGAATTTCTGAAATTATGATAATACTCATACAGACAACCCATACATTAGAAGGATAGAAGAGAAAAGTGCAGTGTGCTATGAAGGAATTTTCCCCGTACAACTGTCCTTACCTGCCCGCCCATGTGTACACAGGATCTCGGATTTTCGTCTCATCCGAACGACTAGACGGGGTCCTTGTCAGACAAGGGGGGAACCACGCTGGGAAATTTCGGATAAATGATCAATCCCGGGACCTACTGGTTAGTGAGCCAATGCCTTAATTAACTGAGAAGAAATGTAGGCCGTTAAAACCAATTTCATTTTTGTTTAATTCGTTGTGGGAGTATTACGCAGTTTTGATCTAAGATATGAATTTTACCGTTTCGAGTGGGTTTATTCATAATTTTTTATATTAAATTACTTAATGGGATTTATCACTTCCAGACGATTGATAATCGCTACGGCGCAAGTCTCTTACCCAGAGATCATCAGTGTTTCTAGACGTGCTTTGGCTTATCAATGGACCCGATATTAATAACTTAACGTTTTGTAATTATTAAAGTCTTTAAAGTGACAAAGTGTCTAGTCGATGGGTATGCCTAATTGTGTTAGGCTGCAGCCACTGCAATCGGCCATAGTGACTTGGTCAGAATGACGCTAGGTCGATCCTGATGTTAGCTGAGGATGTTATTAGAGATTGTCTAGCATAGTGTTCCCCTAATCCAGTAGTGCAGCACAGAGGACAGTTGAAACTGGCTGTTGAAATTCTATTAAGACTAGGCGGAAACGTCTCTGCCTGGCCAACAGTTCCGTATAACATAGTGAATGGCGTATGTCCGTCTTCATTAGCCCATTTCATTTCATTTCGATACAACTATATTGTCAGGTTGACATTGTCAAAAACGTTGTAGGTCTATATTTTAATATTCATTATTGTACAAGAAAGGTGGATGACTGACACACAGCTGGGTGTGCGTCATCTTTTGGTAGAGGGAGCTATGGGCAAAGGTTTTATCATCCGAACAAATTTGACTTGCCGTGCAAAAATTTCGTTGACGCTACGCCTATGCAAAAGATGATGGTCATGAGTTTCTTTTTTCATTAGAATCGTGTGTTCTAATCTTCAACCGTTTGTTTGTCTGAAGGGTGTCACGGTGGCTAAGGGTGTTCGATCCCTGCATTGGCAGAGAAAATTGTGATCTGTGTATCTCCTTGTTTGTAGATTATGTCGTTAAGATTTAGAGTACAACATGGTCTAAATAGGTCTTTACGAAGCTCTTTATCAATCCACTTGACCTAACCATTTTTATGTCATTAAAATTAGGGGATCACGTGGCTAAGTGGGTAAGACACTGGTTCGCTAGCCTGGAGGTCGGGTGTTCGATCCTTGCATTGGCCGGGAAAAGTTCATCCAGATTTTCCGGCGTGGTTCCCCCTTGTCAGTGATGCTGGACGGAGGGCCTGGCAAGGACAGCTGTCTAGTCATTCGGATGAGACGAAAAATCGAGGTCCGGTGTACACATTGGTGTGCACGTAAAATATCCCTTGACAGTTGGAATTCGATATAAGAGTAGGCCGTAGTGCCGCTGTCCGGACAAAATTTCCCTCATAGCACACTGTATGGCGTATGTCCGTATTCATTAGCCCAGTTCAGAGCAAAACAGTAGGACGTTAAACCCCATTTCATTTCGTTTGTCTGAAATAAAATGACCGTGTAACTTTAAAACATATACAATAGCTTCTGTTCCACATCAGTTTCTTTGTAGAAACGCAAATAGAAAGTTTTCTCCGCCAGAAACAACCCCCCGTCGCTTAAACAACATTAATATCTTCATCAATATCGTAGCATCGACGGTGGTAAGTGATTTATCTTTGATGTCAGGCACCCGATCATGATAACAGAAATTAATGTTTCTAAAAAACAGACTATATGAATAAGAAACGCATTTATTAACTCTAAATTGAATATTTATACGTCATGTCTAGCGTCAACATGTTAATTTAAAATCAGGAAACATATTAGTATTACCATATGAGAACTAGATCTCAGATTAAGATAGTTAGATTATCTAAAACGCTTACTGTTTAGTAACATTTCACTGCCTTTTAAAATTGTCTTGGCAGGTGCAAACAGTTAATTATTCAATATTTAAATTTATGAAAATAGGCGAGTTTAATTTAGAATCAAGGCCTGTATTTAATAAGAAGGGATTTATTTTAACTGTGACCTGTAAAAGTTAGTCGATATCTATAATCTGTTTCACATTACTGAACGCGTTTACCAACACAGATATTTCACCTACATCGTAACCCTTTAGTTCGTCATTCAAAAATGAGTTTTTATCTATAATCTGTTTCAGGTTATCGTTACTATTAAATAACATAGAAAGTCCACCGTTATCTTAACCCTTTGTTTAATCATTCAAAAATTAGGTTTTATCTATAATCTGTTTCAAATTACTGATACCGTTGAAGAACATCGGGAGTTAAAGGGGAAGATCAACGATTTTTAACAAGGTTTCCATAAATCTTAAATATATATTGATAAATAATCCCCTCTGTAACACAAGCAAAAAAAGTTTCTGTAAACGAGAAATTATTTTTTTATTAAAACCGGAAGTGATGAAGTTGGTTCAACACGCTCACTGGTCTCTATATAGTAAGCGTACACATTTGGCATACGTTTGCTGCTGTATTTTGTTCACGCGTCGTCCTTTGGCCAAACATCTGATCAATGGGCTGTTTATTAGAGATTTTATATGAATATATATTCAAGATTTTTGGAAACCTTGTTGAAAACCGTTGGTCTTCCCCTTTAACTTTTCATCCTAATTTTATTTCGTTCTTCAAAATTAGTTAATATCTATAATCTGTTTCAGATTACAGTCACCGTTGAATAATAATACAGAACCCTCAACCTTAATCTTAATACTCATTAATGGCAGTCCTTTATTTCGGCATATAAAACTTAGTTGTTACTTATAACCTATTTCAGATTACAGGTATAGCAACTTCAACTTCATCTTAAAGATACATTATGTAAGAGCGAAATCTGTCTTTTGCAGGTTTTTTTGCTTTTGGCCTCAAATTTTATACGAACTATTAATTAAACATTTATTAACATGGATGGACATAATCAACTCTCCCAACAATCAGATGCTCTCAGGTACAGGATCTTCAACTTCATCTTAAAGATGAATTATGAAAGAGAGAAATCTGTCTATTGCAGATCTGTATTTTGACCCAAAAGGTTATATGAATTATTATATAGGCATTTTGTCCACATAACAATCCTATAATCAACTCTTTAGACCATCGAGGCTAAGTCAAGGTTACCAAGTACCGTTAATACGACACTATTATACACTATATCTCCAGTCATAACGTCGCTCAGATAAAGTAATTTCAATGACATTTTTAATATATTCATTTTTCATTATCCTTTATAGCAAGAACGACCAGATTTTTATCTGAAGCTTACATAGTGCATTTTTAATCTAATAATTAATTAGTTGATGCCTATAATCTATTTTAGATTAGAGTTATAGGAACTTCAACTTCGTCTTAATCGAATTAACGACAGGCCTTTATATCGGCATGTAAAAAATCAACAATTCTTTTCGGCTTCTAATTTTGACTTACCCACAGAACTAAGAAACTGGAATTCTGAATAAGGACTGGAACGTGTGAACACTTCTTTAATGATAATACCAACAGCATAAATATCTACTTTTAGGAAATCTACATTACGTTCATTTCTCAACACTTCTGGTGCTGTCCACAATTGCTCTAAAAATAGAATAGTACGATTATAAGTCATGGTAATTGTACTTGGGGAAGCCACCGTGGCTAACTCGGTAAGACGCTGGCTTGCTAGCCCGGAGGTCGTGTACGATCCCTGGTATTTTCTGACGTGGTTTCCCATTGTCAGATTGTCAGTGGTGCAGGGCGGAGGGTATGACAGCTGTCTAGTCGTTCGGATGGGACGGAAAATCGAGGTCCCGTGCACGTAAAATATCTTGGCATTTGCAATTCGATATAGTGCCGCTGCCCTGGGCAAAATTTCGCTTATAGTTATAGCACACTGTATGGTGTATGCCCGTCTTCATTAGCCCAGTCGGAGCAAAACAGTAGACCGTTAAAGCCCATTTCATTTCATTTCAGTTGTATTTGGTCTGTCTATTTTAGGAGATTTTATTTGATGTATAGAGATTAGAAAACAGACATGAAACAATTTAATACGTTCTAAAATGTCTAGACGCTAGTCATTTGAGATTTAATGAGTGTTGACAACAGATGGATAAGATATGTCCAGTGGTTGTATCCATCTGTTAAAACTAAAGACAAAGTCACACTAGTGGATTTCGAGCCTTCAAAACAAACCTTATAGGACAAATCCTTTAGGTTATTATTATTCTTGGTTTTGCCCTGGTTGAGTTCGGCCTCAACCGTTTTGAGAAGAAATGCTGGTCAGTTCGTAAAGGTAAAATCCTATACGGGCGTTTGTATGCGTCAAGATTTAGGATTTATCACTCGGCTATAAATTTATAACTTACAGAACAGGTTTTACTATTCATATGAAAAGATAAATCGACTAGTTTGACTCAGCCCTTAGTGGATAAGCTGAGTAAATTACAATAAGATATTTATCTATTTCCAGCTTGGATGTAATCTTGGTCTATTGTATTTTTAGAAGCGGTTGTTTAAAATATTATTGCCAATGACAAAGCATCCTTAGATATAAAAACGAAACAGAAACGAAAGTAGGGTATATAATAGGTCCTCATAAAAAAAATACATACTATCGCCAGCTTCATCTCTACATCTGATTCTTGGTACCCCAAAATCTGTTAATTTACACGTCCATCGGCTATCCACCACGCAGTTAGAACTCTTTAAATTACCATGGTAACCAACAGAACTCTTGTGTATGTATTCCAAACCCTGAAGTTTACAACAAATTAATAAATACATTTACACCCTTTAGAAGAAGGATAATGCATGTCATTTGTATTCTTTGACATATAGCTGACTGAATCCTGGTTCAACAGCTCGGTAAAGGAGATTTTTATTAACACAAGGTACAATTTTATGGATACACCATTACCGAGTGTATCCATAAAATTGTACCTTGTGTTAATATGTTCAATTACTAAATGCCAATCAAAGAAGAGATTTTTATCCGCTGAACAAAAATAGCCGATTTGTAAAATCATCCATGTTATGCGCCCCGCGTCTAAAGAAACACGAAACGCCCTGTTGATTTCTTTTGAGAGGATGTTATTGACACCATATTTGACATTATAAGGACATCTATGATTTTTATAAAGTATATTTGAATGGTAAAAAGTTTGAATGTTTATTCCTTTATGTGGTAGATTTCGATTCTATACAAATCAATCACACAAGGAACCATTGCAATCACTTTCAAAAAATATCTGATATTTTAAGGTCTCTTTGCGCCATTTGCATTTTTCTGAAAATATCAAATTTTCCGGGTTTAACCCATACTAAAATGTATGAAAACTGATTAAACGGAACGGACTTAGACCATTTTTGGACTGATAATTACAGCTTTAACCTTCACTATATTGTAGTTTGTAAGGGTCAAATGGCGTTCAGACTTTTAATAAAAACAAGTTGACATGGAACTATAATGAGCAACCTGTTTCATCTAAATAGTGCCTAAGTAAGGCGTTGGCTCGCTAGTCTGAAGGTAGCGGGTTCGATCCCGGTGTTGGGCGAGAAAGTTGATCGGGATTATCACGCGTGGTTTCCTCTTATTAGTGCTGCAAGATGGAGGGCCTGACAAGGACAGTTGACTAGTCGTTCGAATGGGACGAAACACCGAGGTTGTTCGATGCTTAGCCTCGCTTCGCCATGGCCTTCTTCTTTGCTCACAAAATGAAGAAAACCGAATGTGGAGCCGTGATTCAGTATCTTCATTTGAGAAGGTTTACGCTGTTTAACTCTGCTAAGAATGCCTTTTTAAGGAAAAATCGAGTGTTGTATTTTCACAGAATGTGTACAAACCTTGGCTACATCTTGACATAGGGCAAACTTAAAAAGCTGGTCCAGTTTAATATTGGCATTCCATATAATATCCTATAATAGACATAATAATAATATAAATAGGTAATAACTTTGTTTTAAAATGGGAGTAAGGCCCTGGATTACTAGCCAGGAGGTGGGGGACATCCAGGTGTTCGACAAGAAGGTTCCTAAGGATCTTTTAGCCGGATTATTCCTTCTGAGTGTGTAGGACGGAGGACTTGGAATTGAAGAACGTACCGCCGCTCGGACTGGACAAAACTCCTGGTCCCGTGTATACCTTACTGTGCACAGAAAACAGCCCTTAGCAGGGTTAGATCTATTTGATAAGGTCAACAGGGCTAGCACCCCAACCCTAACCCTAACCTTGGACCTAGCCCTAACGCTTACCCTTACCCTAACCTACAATCTCGCCAACAATCACGTGTCCTAACATTATATACAACTCAGCGACTTTGACGAAAATTGAGCTGCCCTTAACAAATAGCTCTAGTCCCTTGGCAGTTGGAATTTGACGAAAAATAGGCGGAAACGCCGCTGTCCGAGCAAAATGTCCCTCCTATCACACTGTATGGTGGGTGGCCGCCTTCATTATCCACGGTGCTACAGAAGAGTAGGCCGTTCACCCACATTTCATTTCATTTATTTTGAAAAGTTCACACAACTATTAAACATCAAATAGGCATCTTAAAATAGACAGATGATAGATATATCTTAGATAATAATATTGTTTTAAAATATTCACGGGTTTATTTAACACTAAATGTTCCTTGTACGCCTCAAAGACAAAGACTAATAAATATAAAGAGATTGACATAAATATCATTCTAGCCTCAGTGAAATTTACACGATTTATATAACATTGACAGACACCTGAAATATATGAATTATTTATGACATATATCATAAAAAGACTAACCTGTAAACTGCCTTTATGACAATATTCCCAGATAAGTAATATTCTACCAGGATCTAAACATGCACCAACAAATGCGCAGACGTTCTGATGCTTTAGTTCCATTAACTGAAAAATAAACAATAAATGAAATTTGAAATTTAATTGCCTTTTTTATGTCTCATCAACGGAATGCTTCAGCAATTTGAAGACAGGCATATGGTTAATTATATTTCTATGGATCCGCGTGCAATACGAGGTTGGTACATGCAGAAGTGTTTCCGGATGCTGGTGTTTCAAATGCTTTTATGTGCATGCGCAGTGTGTACACGGGTGGACACGGGGTAAAGTCTAAAAATTAGAGCTAGCTGCAGATTTCGCCAGGTCGCGAGATATAAACAGGGCTAGGGCACGTGGTTGTTGACGGGATTGTGGGTTAGGGATAGGTCTAGGGGTAGGGGTTGGGTTAGTTCTAGCCTTGTTAACATCTCGTGACCTTTGACCAAATATGCAGCTGGCCTTAATTTTTAGACCTAACCGTGGACACGGACTCCCATCCACGGCTGAAACCCAGGGCCTCAAGAGCTATGGGTCTCCGGTCCAGGTGTATACCATTTCTTTGACGAAATGTAATCTCAAGCACCCATTGTCATCAACGATCTTTGATCTTCCTCTAGTCGCGAGGGTGTGGGGTTGGGAGGGGCCTTGTAACAATCATAGCCTGGGGTCTCTCTTTGTGTCTGTGTTCAAATAAACACAGAATCTTTTGACAAAAGACTCTTTGGGATACTAATTTGAACTGGTATCTGATCATTTAAACATACAGAAGCTTTCTGTCTCCGACTCAGTTTCGCACCGGAGTAATATTTTGGATCATGAACGAAGAAGCTTTCGCATTGGGAGAATTTTTCCTCGAATCCGTATGCATAACAATGGAAAAAAACTTTTATAAACACGCATACAAACCACCTGTTTATGTAGGTGTGCATAATAGACCACCTGTTTATGTAGGTGTGCAATTAAAATCAGTCTATTCTAACTATGATTCACGGAGATTTCCTGGTAAACCTAACCTAACACCTGCATATCATATAGCCTCAGGCCTAACACAAATCAAGTCCACGCTTGACATAATATCTTAACATAAGCCAAGTTTTATATCATATTTGATACTTAAATGAAGTTTATTACCAACCAACCTGATTCAGCTCCTGTAAAACTTCTTTAGTCAAGCTAACATTGTTTTTAGACATCCTCTTTACAGAGACCATGCTGCCTATAAATAGAAATGGGTGGAAATTAGGGAAATGTTTTGTCTGTGGATTTCATAGATTTAGACATCCTTTTTACAGAAACTAAGCTGTCTATAAATAGAATAAGGGTGAAATATGTAATTCATGACACATTAGAAATGCAATGGGGTTTAACGCCCCACTTGTATGTACAAGCTGGGCTAATGAAAACGGGTATACACCATACAGTGTGCTATGAGAGAAATTGGGTCCGGACCGCTGCGCTATGGCCAAATGTCAATGAACGCCTAGACGTTCGCCTTAGGTAGACACTCCGCCCTGCGTCACTGACAAAATGAAAACGCCAAACAAATCCTAAATAAATGAAATGAAATGAAATGGGGTTTAACGTCCTACTGGTCTACTCCGAAATACCAAAGAAATGAAATGAAATGAAATGGGGTTTAACGTCCTACTGTTCTGCTCGGACTAGGCTAATGAAGACGGACCTACGCTATGCAGTGTGATATGAGGGAAATTTTTCCCGGACAGCGGCGCTACGGCCTACTCTTATATCGAATTCCAACTGCCAAGGGATCTTTAAATGCACGGCAATGTGTACACTGTCATCATTTTTACGTCCCATCCGAACGATTAGACATCTGTCCTTGTCCGACCCTCTGTCCTGCATCACTGACAAGATAAAGCTATGCCAAAAAGTCTCAAAGACTGTTCTGGGCCAACATCGGGGCCGTAGCCGAATTTTTCTGGTTAGCGAGACAGTGTCGTACTCACTGAGTCATGACACATCGTATCATTAATTATTTTTTTTAACTTATCCAGTTTTGAAATGTATTACATTTATAGACAAAAAACAAAAGACGACGTTAAATAATGTATTAATTTATGCAAAAGCACAGTTTTGTATGGCAGTAATCTAATTCTGTTTCGTTATATAGTTTATATACTTGGCCCAAAACATTGAAATCTGACATATTTTTTGCTGACAGCGTTGAAATCACTTGGGCTATTGGGTTTAAAGTGAATTATGGGCATTAAAAACCACAAGCATATAAGAGTGATTCTGGTGGTTTTTCTTGCTATGCACCAAGGTGGAAGTGGACGTAAAAAAATCCCCAGTCGTGGGCTAATTAAAGCGAGCATAGCTATGCAGTGTTCTATGAGGGACATTGTGCCCGTACAATGGCGCTACGGCCTACTCTTCTATCGAATTCCATCTGTTAAGGATTCATTTACGTGTACACCAATGTATACACTGTCAACGGTTTTCGTCCCATCCGAACGACTAAACAACTATCCTTGTCAGGCCCTCCGTCCTGCGCCACTAACAGGAGAAACCACTAGGTCAAAAGAAGCTACATCAAGTGCGTTTAAAACATTCCCGAAATCAGTTAACGTACCTTTAAAATAAGCCACAGAACCAAACATGGTAGGGCCCGTCTCATTTAGATGGTTAGCCCTTGGTGATTCGGCACTAGCAATAGAATCCACACAAGAAATGGGCGTTCTGGTTTTAGTCACAGAAGTCTTCTTGGAACTTCTTCTTCTCTGTAAATTTTTGAAACTGGACTGAAAATGAAAGAAAATGATTTTTTTTCACTCTGTACCAGAGGTTCGTTTCGATAATGACGGGTGTTAATACGAAACTATAGAGGTGCGAGGTGGGCTGAAAGCACAGTCCCAGTTATTAAGTTCTAGAGGTTAATGTTGCTGATTGTCATCAAAGCTGAATCTCTAAAAGAAATATCAGTCCAAAAATGGTTCAATTCCGTTCGGTATTTACAAATAGGAGATCAATTGAAATTTGTCAACATTCGGCATCATCTGTAGATATAAAGGGAGGTTGGGTGGCCAAATGTTTAGCGCGTTTGCGTTGTATCATAAGGTCTGTCATTGAGTCAACTGGAGCGGTTTCGATTCCCCGATTGTACGTGACAAGGAGTGGGGTCGCCTGTCCAACCTCATGGGTTTTCTCCGGGTCCTCCGGTTTCCTCCCACTGCTCAAGACCCCCTACGAGCAAGCGATTTATTGAAATAAAATTGAACCATATGTATGTGTCAAGTGGACGTTAAACCCCATTTTTCTCTCTTTCTCTCTGTAGATATAGTTGGGATAAGCAAGCCAGCTCCACCTATACATTTCTCTAATGTCATTTGACGAGTCTCTTGTTAAACCGCTTGAATCGATGCCAGGATATTATTGTAATCGCATTTATTTATTCGTATCTAGCATTATTATATTATTTGCCGTTAATATTTTGATTTTGATTTCTTAATCAATTTGTGTCCATTTTAGCACGGATTAAGCAATTAATATTCTCCAAATCGGAAAGTTCACATCAAAATGTCTAATGAGTTAATTAGGAAACTGGGCAAACTATATCTCACCCGAATACTGCCACACAACAAAGCTGTTACAAAATCGATCTCTTCAAAACGTATCTGCCATATCATACTAGCTAACTGACGCTGACGTCGATATCTTCTGAAACGAAAAACCCAATGACAATACTGTTCGAAATGAATGAAATGAATGAAATATGGTTTAACGTCTTACGTTCTACCGGACAAGGAAGACGGGCATACTCCATGCATTGTGGAATATTGCTCGGACTGTGGCGCTACGGTCTATTCAAATTGGAACTGTCAAGGGTCCTTTACGGGCACGCTAACGTGTACATGGTTTTTCGTAAAATCGGGATGACTAGAAGATGTTCATTACCAGACCCTCCTTTCTGCGTCACTGACAAGAGGGAAATACGTCAGAAAATTCAGGGCAATTTTATCGACAAACACCGAGATCGAGTCAGTGACACGTCTAATTAATGTTTGTATTTTTTCTTTACATTATGTCATTGACTGCAATAATATAATTGCTATATGGATGAATTGGTAGGCTTCGGACGTTTCAATCCCTGTGGTGTATGAGAATACTTTCAGCTACGATTTTATTAGAACACATCAACTACATACTTAATAAAACAAAGGAATTATATTAACCGAAATTCCGAACACTGACCTAAGGAAGAACTGGGCAGATAAGGCTACAATTAACACGAACGATGATCCAGCTGCTGCTCCTACAATTGTATCAGTATATACTGGTTTGTGTTCAGGAGTCGGTTCTGAAAAAAAGAGTTTATATATAACTATTTGTGACTGCCGTGTGTCTATTCGGGGTTCGCGTCTACATTAGGGGCTGTTCCGAGGCTGAAATTTGGGGTATAAGGGCCGGTCGCGCCAGCGAGTGACAAAAGCCTTGTGGCGTTGTATTACTACTTCGGGTTTCGGAGTTACACTGCTTCCGTATATATCGGAATCAATTGTTATCACTGAGTCGCATCGACGTCACAATGGAAGCAGACAATCATGCTACAACTTCGTATACTGGTTTATTTATAAAATCACTGACATCTTGTGCATAACAGACTGCTTGAATAAGCGATAGACAATATTGAGATGTGGAAAATCAGAATCTTGAATCATATTGATCAAATGTAATACGACGGGGAGTGTTTAAAGATTACATACCAATTGCAGGTGTATCAGAAGGGGCATTTCTTCTGCCAACTTTACCATTTGGCCACCGAACTTTGGTGTTTTCTTTCATTTCCTAAAAATCAAAATACATTTATTACAATGATTTATGAAAACCGTGTGCTCATGTCATATCAATGTTTCAGAACATAGGACTTCCTTCTTTTGAAAAAAGTTGAAGACTATTTAACAACCTCAAGGTCTACATGCGGTACTCTTCCGGCATGCGACAGGAAACTTATTTAAATTCTTCTGTTCCTAGAAAAACAAACCTAACAAGAGTAACCTCCCTCGTTGTTTGAATATTTGTGAGAGCCCAGACAGCGTGGAAACAGCCTACTCTTATGTTTAATTCCTACTGTCAAGGGTTCTTTTACTAGACATTGTTCTTTGCCTGGCCCTCGCCCTGCACTTACCGTAAAGACGATTCCACCAGTCAAAGTATTAAAAATTTTAACTGTGGCGGTAAATTTACCATTTTCTTGCATGTCTAGAATCCATATATTAACCAGACGATCACAGTTCTGGTCTAGGATCAACATACCAGTTACACCTAGAAAATCATAGAATTACATAACGTCCTAGTATCCAATTACAACTGGCAGTGTATCTTTTGCGTGCACACCATCGAGTACACTGGTGGACCTCGGTTTTTCGTACCATCCTATTTTCTGCACCAACCGGGTTAATGAAGGACAGAGGCATTTCCGCCTACACTGTATAGAATTCTAACTGTTAAGGGGTCGATTATCTGCACTCCATCGAGTACAATGGACGACGTCGGCTTTCCGTACTACCCGAGTGAGTACCTTATCTTGTCAGGCCCTCGTTCTGTTTTACTAACAAGAGGAAATCACACCAACAAAGAGGAAAATCCCAAGTACAAGGGCGGATCCAGCGTGGGGGGGGGGGGGTCCACCCTGCTCAGCTACACATAAAAATTTGTAAAACAACTTTAATGAGAAAAGTGTCGCGGTCGTGTGCTTTATTCTTTATCATCAGATGGTGGGATGAGATGGGCATTCAAGGCGCGAGATATTGATATAGTCATATATGATATCCCATTTAATGCTTTGCATCAATGAAATTGAATCACAGCGTGATCCTATTAATTCATAATAAAAATTGACGTCAAACGGGGTCTTGGATTTCTCTCTTTTTAAAACCTCAGTGTGTATGTATGCCTACGTAATTTGGAGATGTTGATTGCATCATTAACGGGAACCTGACAAACCCCCTCCTGCAAAAATTCCTGGATTTGCCCCTGGAGTAATCGGTCAGTGCTCTATCGCTTTATTCACTGTACCAGTGTGGCTCCTACGCACGTCACGATGGAAACTTGCAATAAGGAACATCATTCTTCAGAAGCAATACAGGATGATTAAGATACCTTATCAAAAGGAAATTTTCCTGCAAATTTTTAAATCATCCGAGAATGATAATGCTTTGTAGTCAATCCAATGAAAATGTGCTAGCTACTGTACTCACCATTTGTCTCCGCCATTTGAGCCTGCTGGAATATAAGACTGCCATTTCTAGGGTTCTTGCCAGCTTTCAGAGTTTTATTCACCAGCTGTCCCCAAACGATAGACGCATCATAGAGATACGGTGCATAAGCATCCAGCTGAAATAAAACCATATAACATTACCAAATCAGAGTTTTATTCACCAGCTGTGCCCAAACGATAGACGCATCATAGAGATACGGTGCATAAGCATCCAGCTGAAATAAAACCATATAACATTACCAAAGCAGAGTTTTATTCACCAGCTGTGCCCAAACGATAGACGCATCATAGAGATACGGTGCATAAGCATCCAGCTGAAATAATACCATATAACATTACCAAATCAATGCCATTTCAGTTCTAGATTTTGGTATACCATAATTAATTATTTCAATCGAGATATGGGCACGAGTAGGCTTAAAAGAATTAATACCATATATTAATCAGTGTCCAGTAAGATAACTTTTATGAAAATTTGCCAGAGCGAAAAAGTTGTAACCCTGCCTGCATTTAGCCCATGGGGATGTTCGATATCTTTCTCAAAAGTGATATATAGTTTAATTTGAACAATCTTTGAACAATCTCGATAAAACACAAATCCTTTTGCGTTTTCATTCAGTTCTTTTTCTGTTCAAATTTCTTTTCATGTGTATTCACTACAGTGGAGTCCGTGAAAATTCTACACAAACTAAACAGAATTTAAACCAGCCTACGTGTATTCAGTTTGGGATTTAGATAAATCATCTCTTCACGTGCAATTATCAGATACCGTTTTGTCTTATTTTTATTATTTTTAAATCAGTTAATTTGAGGCAAAATCAGTGAAATTTCAGGTTACCTCATTACCTTGCGGCAATTCCCAATCTGGTGACGTTGTTTTTGCAGCTTGGAGCGATAAGTTTTTAAATGTTGCAAGTGTTTGGACATTACTAGCAGCCATGATGACCTGTTGTAAGAAAGTGAAAGTAGGTTTGTGATGGCAGTAGCATTGATATGACATTCACAATAAAATATACTATATTATCATTTTTATACACAAAAGTTTTGACACTGCCACATATTATTAAGAAAGTGGTGGTTTTAGATTGTCAGTCCAGAGAGTGCGGAACTGACGGAATAGTACTCCCGGAAACAGACGTGTTTAACCAGAATCATGACGTATTCAAAGTTTCAGCTACGGGGATTGGTCGTGATAGTATATTCAATTTGCGAATGCCTTGTCGCACTGGGGTCTATTGTTTACTTGATTGACGCGGAATTGATTCTGCCAGTGCCGAAAACAGATGTCGTGTGAGCAGAATCATGACGTAACCAATAGTTTCATTACTGGTGATTGGTCGAGGTGGTATCATATTTAGTTTGCGCATGCCTTGTCGCCCTAAATTCTAGTGTTTCCTTCACATCTTTTGACACATTTCGAAGGACTCAGAGAATTTAATTCCGGAAGTAGACTTACAATAACCAACATCTATTTCTTTCTTATTTATGGACTTTCATAATTATAATACTACTTACATGTATAACTGACTCAAAGGCAAATCTGGCTTCATTATCATGTTCATCATTTCTTCTCCAACCACGATTCGACATGACGTCATCTTCTAGAGCTTGACCAGTATATACCTAAACAATACCAGTACATAATACTCTGTTCATTAGACATTTGAATTCGTTTAAACATACATTATGCAAGAGCTATATCTAATGTAGGCCCGAATTGTTATCTAAATTATTAATTAGACATTAATTAACTTATCCAGACCATAATCAATTCTCGATGGCATCGCTAGCCTGCGATATCTGCTGCTTAAAAATCAACAAATGAAAAATCGAGACTATGTTTTTTATCGTACAGACTTTAGTAATGATGATCGAGGCTAGACCCAAAATTCAATCGCTAAAATCTCGATTCAGGTTAAATCAATTTGACTGAAATTTTCAGCAAATTCACTTTACATTTTCTAGTTTTTAACTATTATAGTGAGAACTGCCAGCTTTTTATCTAATCTTCCATAATGTAGCTTTTAATATCGGTATTAAATACAACTGAAACTCATCTTGTCGAACATAACATTCGAGATAATAGTAATTCAAATGCGAATCAGGCATTAAAAAAAAACACTGATCGAAAGTTTAAGTGATTTTGAATCGCTTGCGAACTACAATGTTGTGAATGTAGAGCGAGAGAGAAATGGGGTTTAACGTCCACTCGACACAACCCAGGTCATTTCGGGACTAATATATGGTTCAATTTAATTTCATTAATTAGCTTGCATTTAGGGGTCTTTAGCAAAGGGAGGAAACCGGAGAACCAGGAGAAAACACGCGAGGTTGGACAGGTGACCTTACTCCTTGACTCAATGACAGACCCCTTTCGGGGACACCAGCGCCCCCGCCCCCACTTGTCCCACTGGTAGTTCTCACTATAATAGTTAAAAAACTAGATAATGTAAAGGAAATTTGCTGAAAATTTCAGTCAACTTGATCCACTCTGAACCGAGATTTTAGTGATTGAAATTTCGACCTAGCCTCGATCGTCATTACTAAAGTCGGTACGATAAAAAAAAGCACAGTCTCGATTATCCATTTCATGATTAAATCATGAATGAAAGTTGAGCAGCAAATCTGATCGTAATCCAGTAAATATCGCAGGCTAGCGTTGACATCGAGAGTTGATTGTGGTCTGGATAAGTTAATTAATGTCTAATTAATAATTTAGATAACATTTCAAGCCTAAAGAAAGACGTGCAATAGGCAGATTTAGCTCTTGCAAAATGTATGTTTAATTAAATGGGGTTTTTTAAAATTAGTTCGATCAAGCTAACCATACTTATGAGTGAGCTGCTTAATGGGGCTGTCACACATTGACGTATAGCATCAGCGTATGCCGACTTATGAGAAACTTAGCAAACACGCTGGTGTATGTTGAATACGTTATGGGTACGTTTTTAACAAGTTACGATGGATAAGTTGTTGTACGCCGAACGCGGTCCACAATTTTGTACATGCATAAAATTTTCAGAGTATACCGAAGTATTGCTTACACGTTAGGCATAAGTTAGAAGTACGCGACAGGTAAGTTATGCACGCGTTCACGCACGTTACATGTAAGTTACACAAAGTTGACATAAGTCGACTACCAGCAGGGCTATTGAGCAGCGTACGTTAGGCAGAAGTTAGAAGTACGCGACAGGTAAGTTATGCACGCGTTCACGCACGTTACATGTAAGTTACACATAAGTTGACATAAGTCGACTACCAGCAGGGCTATTGAGCGGCGTACGCGTAACCTTTTTCTAACCTATAGGCAACGTACTTCTGACGTCCTTAAAACTTACTGAACGTGTTTGAAACGTGCGTAGAGATGGGCATGTGCAGAAGTCTACAATCATGGCGTACCCTGAGAGGCTGCTACGAGAGTACCAAATAGCTTGAGAGTCGGTAGAGGCCTGCTTGTCGTTAAGGGCTTGGGAGGACGCCACAGATACTACTCAGGACGCATTGAATCCTGCACAATATAAGTTATGTTTACGTTGGGGATAAGTTATGAATAAGTTACTCATACGTTAAACATGGGTTATATATTCGTTCAGCGCGTCAAAAGTACGTTATATATGCGTCTAAAAGGAGCGTCTTCTTGATTTTTAAAATCAGCTTTGGCGTATGCCAGCATGTTGAATAATTATTTTATACGTCGGAATAAGTTGTCTAAAACGTTATAGAGTGACAGGCCCATAAAACCTCTTTCAGTTTGACTTGAGATATAACTTGTTGGGATTTTAGGAGGAAGGAACATTGTATCTGTAGTGTGGTATAGCTAATATATTATAAAAATAATACATATCATGTGTTTATAGGAGACTAAGTAGTTACTGTAACCAAACAAAGAAAAAAAACTTACATCACCATTAATACAGAGAAAAGCAAATTCTCCATTTGTCATGCCTAGACGGTGAGCGACTAACATATATTTTCTTAAACTTAACCAGGGTACGGCAAACACGATTACTGTAATAAAAAAAACCACGATTAATGTAATAAACAAAACACGATTACTGTAAAAAAAAAAACATAGCACGATTACTGTAATAAACAAAACACGATTACTGTAATAAACAGTATATTCTCACAAATAGTGAATTTATCTGGACTTTTTTCTTTTAAAAATTATTAGTGAAACATTTAAATATAAATCAAAATTACATTCTTCTTTAATTCTAATAAATTTATTATTACGTTCATATTTAATTATACCAGATAATCCGTTCAGGGGCAAAGAACTCGTGCTCAAACGGTTTCGCAATCAGAACAAAAGATATGGAGATATTCATATATACATCAGTTCTCTTTAATTTTCCTCCGTTCAACCAACAAATTTGTATTTGTCTGATCTCTATGATCATCGTACTTTATAATAAGACCATTTGCACCACAAATATACGACTTGGTGATGAAATAATTCCATGGTTGTGACAGCGAAAGACGAACTTGTCTGAGACAAGTTGTACACGGTCTTGAACTAGTTTTATATATGCACCTATGTCGCTCAGGTTATTCTCACTCTCGGTCCACCAGTCGCATACAAATAGCCCAATTAAAACTATTTATAGGTGCGACCTAAGCTCCACTTGCCAATATCTCCTTATTCAATTATGTTCAAATGACATTTAGTCTCGGTCACCCAGACCTCATAGTCTTCAACCTACGGAGGATCGGGGTCGGTTGTCAACACATTTGGCGAAATTTACTGGATAATAAACCACATAAAAAAAATTCCGGTTACGCATTAGGAATGGAACGACGAATTTCGATTAATAAAACACGTAGATCTCCTTAAAAGAACCAAATTTTACAATTAAAAATATTATGAGTGCTGGATATTGAACAGGCAATGTAAATAGATTTTTCTGAAATGGCAATATTTCATGGGCGTCGACATCTTGTTTTAGGGCTAGTTACCTCTCTTAGATCTTGTTCATGATAATGTAAGAGACCGGAAAATCTAGTCAATGACCTAGTTATTCTCAAATGTTGACAACCCATCCAATGATAGAGACTAAATGTCATTTAGTAAATGAACTGCAAATACACGTCGCAATTCTATGGAATACATTTACTGCTTATTGCTGAACGACGTTTAGCCTAGCCTTTTCTAGTTTTTATCATTCCATAGAATTGTGATCTGTGTATCTCCTTGTTTGTAGATTATGTCGTTAAGATTTAGAGTACAACATGGTCTAAATAGGTCTTTACGAAGCTCTTTATCAATCCACTTGACCTAACCATTTTTATGTCATTAAAATTAGGGGATCACGTGGCTAAGTGGGTAAGACACTGGTTCGCTAGCCTGGAGGTCGGGTGTTCGATCCTTGCATTTGCCGGGAAAAGTTCATCCAGTTTTTCCGGCGTGGTTCCCCCTTGTCAGTGATGCAGGACGGAGGGCCTGACAAGGACAGCTGTCTAGTTGTTCGGATGGGACGAAAAACCGAGGTCCCGTGTACACATTGACGTGCACGTAAAAGATCCCTTGGCAGTTGGAATTCGATATAAGAGTAGGACGTAGTGCCGCTGCCTGGGCACAATTTCCCCATAGCACAATGTATGGCGTATGCCCGTCTTCATTAGCCCAGTTTAGGAGCAGAACAGTAGGACGTTAAACCCCATTTCATTTTCAAAAATAATTAATACATGTATATTAACAGTAGGACGTTAAACCCCATTTCATTTTCAAAAAGAATTAATATATGTATATATATATATATGTAAGTATATATATCAAGCTAACGTATATTTATATATTAGCATAGTCATTCAGCCCCAGGCTATACAATAAATTACATAATTTAGTTAAATCACAACGCGCACACCAATCAAGTTTGAAACGCAATACAGTCTTGTTTTGAAGTGACTTTAGAAATGAAATGAAATGAAATGAAATGGGGTTTAACGTCCGCGAAGTTTCGCCTAAAATACAGATATATTTCTTTAGATATTTACTGTTGTAGATTGTCCGCGTAAATATATGTTCCTTCTTTTCATTTGGGAAGAAAATACAAAACAAAAAAAAAATAACCAGCTAAATACTAACCTCTGGCATATTTCTTAATTTGCTCAAATATTTTAGCTACTTCTTCATCTGACATCCTCTTCATGACGTTGTGGGTAGAGGTCAAGGTGTAATTATCAGCATCAAGGGCATTAGATATAGCAACACTTACAGCACCATATGCATCATCTTCATCCTTTATCATAGCAAATCTTCTCCATGAAAACATACTTGATACGTATCTCATTAATGATGCTACAAATAACAAAATCAAATATAACGTGATTTCTTATTCAACCCACATACTAATTAGAAATGAAAACGGGGTTTAACGTACTTTTCTGGGTTTGGTCCCGTCCGAAAGACTAGACACCGTGTGTTCGTTAGAACCGCCTTAAAATCCCTGGGAATTTTCTTGGCTATCGAAACCGAAATCAAGCCACAGCCCAAATAGATAACAAATTCATTAGATAACGTTTTGTGGGTATTGGTGGAGGAGTAAATATATACATGTACATGTACATTATTTTGGAAAGAAATGTGGTTTAATGCACTAGCATATTCGACTACACTTCATCGAATTCAAACTGCCAGGGTTTCTTTAACGTGCTCGGGACCTCGGTTTTTCTTTTTGTACCATCCGAATGACTAGACGCTGTTTATCGCCAGCTACACACCCCGCCATCCCTCCGCACTGGAGAATCCCGAGGAACTCTCTCCACTATCACTGGGATCGAACCCAGAACTCTTGCTAACTGATGGATTAGTGCATACGTTAAACAATTAAAGATGCATTATGCAAGAGCAAATCTACCCAACGCAGGCCATTCTTTAGGGCTCAAATCTTATCTAAATTATTAATTAGACATTAATTAGCTCATAAAGACAATAATCAACTTAGTGGAATTGGATACGTTTTGTTGTGGATAAAATAGCCGTAAAAATTGATATTGAGACTGTTTATTATCGTAACAACGATAGTACTGACGATCGGGTCTAGCTTAAAAATTGAATCGTTAATATCTAGGTTCAGAGTGAAGTAATTTGACTGAAAATGTCACCATATTCTCTTTTCATTATCTATGTTTAACTATTATAGCGAGAACTTCCAGATCTTTATATAATCTTACCTAATATCCCTTTAAGCTATAGACCAGGTATATTGCGTGAACAATAAACAAAATACCTTGTCTCCAATATAATGTATAAATTTATAATTAGGGATAAAATAATGCTCACAGAATTGATTTAATGGTCCCAGTAAACGAACCAGGGTTGAATATATACTACGATCTCTCAAATCTACGTCATTTGAAACCCAGCCAAATACCGGTATATTCCAATGAGATGCTAATTGTGCTACGCCCCGCATTCCTGAAATAAATAATAATATATTTTATTTAAAGGGGGTTGAACAGTGAAGACTTTCTTAGCGTATCCGCTTCCATAAAGAACGAAAATATAAGAGTTTATATTTCCCAAGCGATTCGTCTTTGGCAAGATTTTAACTTTAATAAATGCAGTACCTTCTTGAATACCCCATCACTTGTTGAATTTAGACTTCAAATGCCAATCATGGTATTGTTCATCATTTTAATTTTTCGGTAAAATCCAAAGGCCCAATGTTTATTATCTTAGAAATGAAATGAAATGAAATGGGGTTTAACGTCCTACTGTTTTGCTCCTAACTGGGCTAATGAAGACGGGCATACGCCATACAGTGTGCTATGAGGGAAATTTTGCCCGGACAGCGGCACTACGGCCTACTCTTATATCGAATTCCAACTGTCAAGGGATCTTTTACGTGCACGCCAATGTGTACACGGGACCTCGGTTTTTCGTCTCATCCGAATGACTAGACAGCTGTCCTTGTCAGGCCCTCCGTCCTGCATCACTGACAAGGGGGAATCACGCCGGAAAATCGGGATGAACTTTCTCGGCCAATGCAGGGATCGAACACCCGACCTCCAGGCTAGCGAGCCAGCTTATTATCTTAGAACACGTGAGGGTAAACCCATGAGATTGAGAAGGCGCTGCAAACCACATTCGCTCACACCAGGGGTCGAAACCACGACCGTAAGCCAGAGGTGATCGGCCAGCTAGAGATCGAAGTGTGACACTCTAGACCACTAGGCCATCCCAATCTCCAAAAGAATACCGTGAAAGTTCCAACCGCAAGCCAGAGGTGACCGGCCAGCTAGAGATTGAAGCGCGAGAATCTAGATCACTGGGCTATACCGACCCCAGAGAATACCGTGAATGTTCCGTCTTTAAATGTAGAACCTTGAGAAAGTTGGTTCGATGGGTGTCTCCCTTTACGTTGTTAATCGGACGAGGATGTCACTTCGAGATACCTTAATGTCCCCTGTCATAACCATGACATATATATGTCACAACGTCACGCCGGCCAATAATAATGACATATTTTGTTTTATGTTTTTCGTCTTCTTATGAATTTTGTCTGCAAAGAGTTATCGCATCCACGACTGACCGTAATTAACCCATATTCATTTCAATAATAGGTCATCGCATTCCATTTGATGTCTTCTACACCGAGAGAAATGGGGTTTAACGTACATTCGACACAAACTCGGTCAGTTCGGGACTTAAATATGGTTTAATTTTATTTCAACAAGTCGCTTGCGCGTAGGGGTCTTAAGCAGTCGGAGGAAACCGGGGGACGCGGTGAAAACCGACGAGGTTGAACAAGCGACCTTACCCCTTTCCATGTGGAAGCTGGGAATCGAAACCACGCCAGTTAACTCAATGACAGACCTGATGATCTAAAGTGCACATGTTAGACCAGTCGGTCATCCTACCCCCTACTATGAATTGGTCTGTATTAAATTTGCCATACAGGCGGAAACAGCGCCATTCAAGATAAAGTCATTTATAAATCTATGCTAATATTTGTGACTTTCGTTTGTCTGTCTGTCTACTCAGGTTTGGCGGCTACTCTTAGACTACGGCTGTCCCGAAGCTGAAATTTGGTGTATAGGGGTAGATCGAATTGTGGAGCGCCGCGTTATCCATCTATAAAATTTTCTTTATTTATCTATTTTCTTAGTTACGTATCAAGTAGATGTATCAAGGGTTCTTTTACGTGCACGCCAATGTGTACACGGCACCTCGGTTATTCGTCCCATCCGAAAGACCATATACGTTGTCCCTCCGTCCTACACCACTAAAATTCCGATGAACTTCCGCGGCCAACACAGTGATCGCACATGGGATCTTCTACTCACTGAGTCATCGTGGCTGCCCGAATTATTTATGCAATAATGTATATCTAATAATAATTCATATCATACAGCTGTCAACTGATGAATGGGTGACATAATATTTCCTTCTTTACTTTCTTGTGGTATATTTCTCATCTTTTTTGTTTAGTTGTCATACATTAGAACTTATGTGAAATGGGCGGGAGGACTGATTCTGTTTACATTAAATTTTATGTGAAATGGGAGGGAAGTTTGATTCTGTTTACAATAATTTTAATGTGAAATGGGAGGAGGATTGATTCTGTTTACATTAAATTTTATGTGAAATGGGCGGAGGAGAGTACTGTCTACATTAAATTTAATGTGAAATGGGCGGCGGAAGGGGAGAGATATTCTGTCCTCATTGATTTTATAATCTTGGTCTGTTTACAGTATCGTACCCAAAGGCGGGAGCGGGGGAAGGGGGCGGCACCGTTCGTCACTACAATCAAAAAACAAAGATCTGGGGGGGGGGGGGCAATGGGAACAGTAGAGGATACACAAGACACGTGACACATTTTTATTCACAGTTTAAGTATATGTTTGGCGTGGATGGTGATGGTGGGTAGGATAAGCTAAACATAGAGACCGTCCCAGGCGGCTAGAATTCCCTGGTGTATGAAACTGTAAACTATCTGAACCTAAAAAGGTTGTGTGGTTTGAGAGATACCCTTGTAGTTTTTCATCGCTACGCCAATTTCCTCAAATTAAAATTCAGATAATAATATTATATTTTTAAGTGTCTTACCCGCTGAACATGGTGGGCCTAGAAACAAATCTGGTTTGAACTTCTCTTTAGCATCAACAGCCGCTGTTAGAGCAGATTTCGAATTACAATCAGAATCATACCATTTTACTCTGAAATACAAACAGTTAGAATGACATTCAAAATCACACCATTTTACTCGAAAGAACAAAACGTTGGAATTCACATCAGAATCATATCATTTTACTCTGTAATACGAAACGTTAGAATAGCATTCAGAATCACACCATTTTACCATGAAAAACAAAATGTTAGAATAGCAATCAGAATCATAATATTTTACTCTGAAATACGAAAAGTTAGAATAGCAATCAGAATCATACCATTTTACTCTGAAATACGAAACGTTAGAATTACAATCAACTACAACATTTTACTCTGAATAATCAGAGTCGTGTCATTTTATTTTTCCAATCAGAATCAAGTCATTTACACCTCGGATGCTTATATTCTGTCGATAGTGAGTTAAACTTGGATTTGATTTGAATATGGTCATATATAAAATAAATAACATTTGTTTTCCCGTTAAAGGGATGGTGTATCTTTAAATGCAGCATAAGTGAAACTGCTGATATTTGCATAAATTCAAGTATAATGAGGTACGTGAGATTTATGTTTCCATGGGTTGAGTTTAAAACTGTTTTTACTGACAGCCCTTGATGAATGTTTTGACAAGTTTATACTCGTAATACCAGTTTAGGTAACCACCATTTTCAAAATATGATATTATAAATCACCGAAATGAAATGAAATGGGGTTTAACCTCCTATTTTTCTCCGCCGATTGGGCTAATGAAATGAAATGAAATGGGGTTTAACGTCCTACTATTCTGCTCCGAACTGGGCTAATGAAGACGGGCATACGCCATACAGTGTGCTACGGGGGAGATTTTGCCCGGACAGCGGCACTACGGCCTACTCTTATATCGAATTCCAACTGTCAAGGGATCTTTTACGTGCACGCCAATGTGTACACGGAACCTCGGTTTTTCGTCCCATCCGAACGACTAGACAGCTGTACGCCATACGCATATGCCATACAGTGTGCTATAAGAGAATATTTGCCTGGGTAGCGGCGCTGCGGTTTACTCTTATTTCAAATTAAAATTGTCAAGTGATCTTTTACGTGCACGCCAATGTATACACGGGACCTCGGTTTTTACCCATCCGAATGACTGTACGTTGTCCAATGTCAGGCCCCTCTGTTACACACCACTGACAAGGGAGATCCTGCAGGAAAATTCAATTAACTTTCTCACCGAAACCCCATTACTGCATACAAATATGTAATTTATATTTGTTTTAAACATTTGTGTAATACGATTTGAGAAAACTACCATTTTCAAAATATTTCATATAATAATAAATCACCGAAACCCCATTACTGTATTCAAATCAAATGTAATTTATCATTGTTAGAACATCTATGTAATACCAGTTCGGGTAACCACCATTTTTAAATATATTTCATATCATACAAATGTGTAATTTTCTCGTTTTATTTTAGCTGACAATAAGACAGAATGTTTAGAATCTTCAATAAACACGCTTAATTTAGGATTTATTATAAGTATCATGGGGTTATGATCAAATGAATCTTAGGAGACAAGGAAAACTGGTCGTTGCATTCATTATTTTAACACTCTAATTCCATCTGAAGTTATAACGAATTGCATTTTGGATTTACAAGTTGCTTTAAACAAACATAATATCTGTACACTTGTTAACATAACCCGAACAATTTAATGAGCCAAGAATTATCTTATACAGTATATACTAATATTAAATCCTTACCCTGGTTGGATAGAGGGACAGGTAAGAAGACAAGTTATAGTTGTTCAGATGGGATGAAAAACTGAGGTACATATTGGCGTGCATGTAAAAAAAAAACACTTGACAGTTGGAATTTAGAATAAGATTAGGTCGTAGGACCGGTGTCGGGGCAAACTGTTCCTCATAGCACACAATATGGCGTGTCCCCGTCTACATTATCCCAGTCGATGCAGAAAAGTAGGACGTTAAACCCCCATTTCACATCATTACATTTATTACCCTGTTTTGATTTGTGACCTTTTTGTACCGTCTACATGTTTTGTCTTCCTGAAATCAGTTTGAATAATCTATAACGACAGATAATTAATTACTAACGATGTACTTAAAACTAGAAAGAAACGAAACCAAATGACCTCATTGTATATCTATGTTGATTGCCCCCGGGCTCTATAATAAAACGTAACATTGAAACAAAGCGGTGCTTGTTACCAACAAATCACACGGTAAACAAATAATATATAGCACCATGTGACATCACTATTCTACTTTCACTTTATTGATATATTAATCTTCAATTAAGTATCCAGATGAGGCGTAACTTAAAAAGAAAAGAAATGAAACGAAATAGGGTTTAACGTACTATTTTTCTACTTATTACTGGGCGACAATGCTTCTCTAGACTTGATATTCCATATGTGACTTGTTCGATTAATAAATGCCATTGAAACGATTATGAGCTAATGACGTCCGACATACGCCATACAGTGTGATATTAGGGATATTTTGCCCAGAAGACTTAAAAGGAAATAAATTAAATGTCTTTTTCACAATTGTCAAATATTAGAGATGAGTTTCGTAAGAATTAGATAAAGAGATTTGAAGCCAGAAAAAAGACTTGCAGTAGGCAGATTTAGCTCTTACATATCATGTAACCTTTATATATCTCTATTCCAACATCATGAAGCATTAGAATTGAAAACACTATAATTTTATATATGCCTGACTCCGTGATAAAACAGCAGTAATTTCCATAATAGTTTATAATAAGAGTATTAACACATCTAAGGAATAATCGATAACTTAGACGTGATCCTTGCTTGACAGCACAGATTTATAAAAATGATTATTGAGAATTTTAAGTCTATTAAGGATTTCAGACTATGATTCTAGACATTAATTTGAAACCCACCCACCACGATCAAACACAATTTCATATTCCTTAAATTTATTCACACCAAAATGCTTTGACATTCGCAGATGTCCGACAAAATAGAATATTTTAATGGCATTCACTTCCAATCCACCCACCGTTAAACACAATTCCTCAAATTTATTCAATTAAAAATGCTTTGTCAGAAATGACAATGGCATATGGTGTCAGAAAAAAGGTATATATCTACTGTGTCATAAGTACAGGAAGTCATTTCCAATCCTTTGTTTTGTGGTATTTTTCCAACCATCGCATTTGGGGACAATGTCATAAATCAGTCAAACTGACACCTACCAATCACTAGTATATGAACACAAATCAACCGAGACTATAGTCAACATCATAGTACTGTTTGTTACGTAAAGTTACTAATTGATCTGACATATGACATAAATGGGACTTCAATATATTGTCCTGAAACAGAGTCATCCTTGTAGGGTTTTAATATCCATAACGGATTCATTAAACGGATTCGTGACAAATGAATCTAAATAATCCCTAACATATTATAAACAAAATGGGTACTGATTTTGTTTTCATAGAAATTTCTGGAGTTTAGTTATTTTATAGCATTTTAATAGTTTTAATATGCGCATTTTTGTCAAAAACATTTTAATGTCACGGCGCATAACTTCCTTTAAGAACAAAAAACAAAGAAATATCTGTGCTGCAATAAGAGATTATAATCATGAAACAATGGAATATTTGTGATCGAGTCATGAACACAATTTAACATTTACTTTTCTAGTCTAAACGCCTAGCAATTGACGAGATAAAAGTTCAGAATTCATTTAATCATGTCGATAAAAAAAAAAGAAATTTATGAACAATTTGAAAATTAAACCAAAACTGGTTTAATAGCGTTTGCGAGTCATGTGACATACATTGGTACGATGTACAAGATTTATGAGTAAACAGTAAGCATTTTTATGGGGAATTTGAATGAATAAAGTAGAATGTCTAGAGGCTGGACGATGTCCACTACCAGGTCATAAAATGTATAAATATAGTCATTGCCCCCTTTTTTTTATATTATATATAACTCCTGTTAGGCTTTTATTAGATGATAATTCATAACGATACATATTCATCATTTTCCGACATTTTTATATCTCAGGAGGTCAGATGGTTTGTGGGAACTATGGGCGCAGTAGGGGATGAATATCATACTGATACTTTATCTTCTGACTTCAGAACTAAATATACATGTTTACCTAAATAGTTATAACTAATCCTAATATCTATTAATATCTATAAATAAAAGCATAATCGAAACCGTTTTAAATAATTGTATCGAATTAATTCATTTGTTCATCTCTGTTTTATTTAAAGATACAAGTTAGCTCGTCCCATGTATCTCGAAAAGGTCAACTAATATCTATGAATAAGAACTGTTGTCGGGATATACGGGCTTCCGTATTATTAAAACGTAATAAAAATGGTTTTAAATAATTTTATCGAATTCATGTATTTGTTCATCGCCGTTTTATTATAAGATACAACACATTAGATCGTCTCATATATCTGTATTTTGATGTTATTATGTAATTAAGTACCCACAGAGTGCGAAAAATGATGGTGGTGGAAAACCACTTGAAACTAATATATTATACTATTATAAAGACACTAACTTTATGTTTTGACCACATTTTTCTAAAAAAACATGCTTTTAATTGCAGGTGGTCGTCAACTCAATATTTAAGCTGTATTCTGGCATGTTGGAGTTTGTATGACCTCCTGTAACTCTTCGTGTGTCTGGTCTGTATAATAACTTTCAAGAAACCAGACCAGAATCATTCTGTTCATTAACCGCATTAAGTCAGATGGGTGAAGTACCAGCAAGAATCAATGCTGTTAAGTACACATGGAATAAATACGGTTAGCATTGTCGCAAAACAAAACTTGGGTAGGGATGGGAATGGTCTAGAAAAAGTTAGAAATATACAAACTGGAAGAAAATGACTCATGTTATTCACATTTTCCCTTTAATAAATCCTAAATTATCATCTAAATTGTACATATGTTTTATACTGTATATTTAAATTTATGTGTTCACATTATGATTGTCAGTTGCAAATCTGTTAAAGATTCAATCTAAGGAAGCTGATAAAACTTGTTATCAAATCCTAAAATAATCATATAATTTCTGTAAATTTATTGAATAAAATATTGTTTAAATCAAATACATGTACGATTTTTTAATAGGATTTGGGAAACCGGCATTGAACCCTTTTGTCCCAACCGAAGAGTAACAAAATAACATTTTTTTCAATATGAATTTGTTAATAATTATTATTAGAGAAAAAGTGTTTTTAATTTGACACTTACTTTAAGGGATATCCTTGTAGGTATACGTTCTTGATATATCTCAACGCGAGTTTTAACGAACCCACAGTTGACGCCACACTAACGCTGTTATATTCCTTTTTAGGGGCCATGAAAGCAATTCGGAATGGCTCTTTAGGCCCAATCATCTCCTCGCTGGTAACCGTAGCCAGAACGAGGAGAGCGACTAGCCCCAGTAATGACATTGTTAATAATGTTGGAAAGCCTAGAGACAATAAGGTGAAAGCGAATCGTACATCAAATAAAGTCGACACTTGTCAGGTTTTAGGCTTGAAGACAGATGACTGTATAATAACTTGAGTTGTTGTTATGTTATTAAACTATGTTCATACGCAAGATTTCACACTCGTAGCCAGTCAAAACAGAGCTTCTACTACAAGTTTTGAAACAAAAAGCGAAAGTGGAACGGTTTGGAATTAAATCTTTCATCAACCCCTAAATATTTTTTTTTTTTTTTTCAAAAACAATTTTCGTGATTTGCACAAAATAATCACCGCAACAATAAAAATATCTTATATCCGTTTGATCATCAAACATAAATTGAAAGCGATATTCCTGTGGAGAGCTGGTGCTGAAATAGGCGAGATGTCCTGATGCTGAAATAGCCGAGAATTACCACCGATTAGAACTACTTTAAACTGTTAATCTCTTCCGTTAAGAATATCGTTCCAGATAAGATAGATCTCCAGAAACGTTATCCAGTACCAAACCTATCTGAGAGGCACAGGGAAACTTAACACTAAAGATCCAGCTCCAGCGCTATCTTCACAAAACTCCCGCTAAGATGGAGGCTCTATCGAATACTGTCATTTCTTCAGTTTCAAACGTGGCGTCACAAAGGTGAAAGTATCAATCCTTACTCGTTCTACATGTCAGTATGATGACTTGAGGTGACATATTTCAACTTTTGCTTTATCACCCACTCTCGCTGTGTCGTAATATTAATACATATAAACCTACACGCTTTATTAAGGGACCCATTAAATTTACGTTTTTATATAATTTTATTGATGAGAGAGAGAGAGAGAGAGAGAGAGAGAGAGAGAGGGATTTAACGTCCACTCGACACAAACTAGGTCATTTCGGGACTAACACATGGTTCAATTTTATTTCAATAATTCGCTTGCGTGTAGGGGTCTTTAGCTGTGGGAGGAAACCGGAGAACCCGTAGGAAACCCACGAGGTTTGACAGGCGATCCTATTCCTTGCCACGTACAACCGGGAGATCAAAACCACACCCGTTGACGCAGGGGCAGATCTTATGATCTAAAGCACATACGTTATACCACTGACTTATATCGCTGGAAATGTACTTCCCGATATCATGTAAATGGTCCCTATATCACCCAAAACAAGCAAATAATAAGCCAATACTACCAAATATTTATCAAATACTACCAAATACTACTCAATATTATCAAATAACAACCTTATATTGTCAACTCTCTCTCTCTCCCTCTATCTCTCTCTCATGTCAACTATTAAGTAATTGCATATTTACTTAATGGTCGATGTTTTCTTTTAAAAATTAACGAAATTGCACATATTCATTACAAGCGTGTAATGCTCTACTAGTATATAAATCATCAAAGAAATCGACAGAGATTTAAATGTTTAAGCAGATTAGTGAAAGGGAGACTTTACGTCAAAATTGTTTATGACCATCTTATATAATACAGTAGATTTTTGATTTAATGATATATTAAAATATACACAACAAAATATTTGTTTTTCTTGTTTTAATTTCGTTGTTTTGGAAACCAACTGCAAGGCTAAAAAAGATGATTAACCTGGGTAGCAATCTTAAAAAGATTTATCGATTGTAAAGGGAGATAACTGGGTAAACATTTCAATTTTTTTCTGCAAAATATCGAATAGTAATTACACTAATGTGCTGTTATTTGACAATATTAAGTTGTTATTGGATCATATTGAGTAGTATTTGATGAGAATTTAGTAGAATTGGGTTATTATTGGCTTGTTTGGGGTGGTATAGGGAGGCAAATGGAACAGCCAAACATCGATTTCACATTTGAAGTACATTTCCCCCGATATAACTCTGTATTTTTGAAACAAAATAATTGATATGTCCATTTTGCATCATTATGTTGTAGTATTGGGTAGTTTGTGGGGATATTGGGGTGGTATTGGGTAGTATTGGGTAAATCGTCCCACCCCTGTTCTGCACTGACTGAGCTAATGAAAACGGGCATAGGCCATGCGCAGTGTGCTATGAGGAATATTCTGTCCAGATAGCGGCATTACGGCCTACTCGTATTTCGAATTCAAACTGTGAAAGGTTATTTTTCGTGTACGTCAATGTGTATGCGAGACTTAGGTTTTTGGTATCATCCGAACGACTAGATACTGTAACCTTAATCAATCAGAATCATTGCATATTATGGTGTCGATGCAATAACCAGTAAAGGCTGATTATGCTGCTAATATAAGATGTCTTCCAAAACAATGGTTACATTCTGGACTGTTATGGTTATTTTACGTGTACGTCAGTATTTACACGAGACCTCGATTTTTCGTCCCACCCGAACTACTAGATTGGCCTACTGTTTCCTTAATCAATCAGAATCATTGCATATTATTTGTCGATGCAATAACAAGCAAACGCCGCTTCTGCTGCTAATATAAAATGTCTTCCACAACAATGGGGACTTTCCGCTTCTACAATGGACCATGGAATTATTATGTCCCATCCGAACGACTAGACAATACTCTACTTGTCAAAATCGCAGTTGCTGCCGATGACCATTCTGTACATAGAGAACTGTCTATTCTACTTTAAGAATAGATATCTGTCCTAAATGGCCACCATATCCAACAATTAGCATAGGCCTACTCTTTTGAAATGCGGTCCTACTCTGGTTCACATATGTTATACATCAAAAGACTAATTAAACCTTTTCAAATTTATTAAATGAAATTAGAATATACACTTCTCAAAATTATTGAAATATACTTAGTGTTTTCAACGAAAATCGTCGATTTATGAATTAAAATGTCGGTCAACTAGCTTAGTGTCTGTTGTCAAGCGGAGCTAATCGTAGACAGACAACGTAGGTTTTAGTATGGCCTGCGACACGTGAGAACAATCTGCAGAATTATTTAACTTTCTGTCTCACTCAGCAAACCTCGGCAGATTCCGTTACTATACATCTAGCCTCGGCTGTATGACGGTAAGTGATGTGTAACAACGCCTGTACAATTGCGATGGGGCACCGATTTACTTATTAGTAAAACTTGTCGCTTTTAAAAAGAAGTTATCAAAATTGCGTCGTTCGAAGCGTGTTTAGAATTTTCAGTGCAAAGGTGTGCTTGTTTGAAGGAAATCGGATAAACTTGAAAGAAAAACAGCTTCAGACTTTGAAATATTTGTATGATAAAACATTCTTCAAAGGCGTCAAAGTAGTTCCAATGGCGGACTTCGTCTTAGAGCCGAGGCTAGGTGTAGGGTATTGGATTCTGCTGGGGTTTGCCGAGTGCTTTCTGTCTGTGATAATGAATGGCTGTTTTTATCATGCATTATGTGTAGGCCAACCAGGAAGAGTCTGGTAAATGATGGATTAGTTAATTTATCCAATGTAAGGGAGAAAAACATCTGTGATATACATTGAAACAATTTATATTGTGATAACCCGGCCATAGGGGTCACCGAAATTAACCAATAAGAAATAGGATTTCATCATATCGGGATATTTATTTTTATACGCCCACATTGCATGTAGGAGCATATTGTCATCACCCCTGCCCTCGGTAAGGCGCTGGCTCGCTAACCTGGAGGTCGCTGGTTCGATCCCGGTGTTGGCAGGGATAGTTCATCGAGATTTTCTGGCGTGCTTTCTCCTTGTCTTTGGTGCAGGATGGGACGAAAAACCGAGGTCTCGTGTACACATTGGCGTTCGCGTAAAAGATCCCTTGGCAATTGGAATTCGTTACAAGAGTAGGCCGTAGCGCCACTGTCCGGGCAAAATTTCCCTCATAGCACACTGTATGGCGTATGCCCGTCTTTTTATTAGCCCCGTCGGAGCAGAACAGCAGGACGTTAAACCCCATTTCATTTTATTTCATTTGAATTCCCCTCATCGGCTCGCATCAGTACTTTACACTATTAGTCCCGAAATGACCTTGTTTGTGTCGTGTGGGTTTTCTTTGTGTCTTCCGGTTTCCCCCTGCTAAAAGACTCCCACGCGCAAGCGAATTACTGAAAAACAATTAAACCATGGCCTGGTCTCTCTCTCTCTCTCTCTCTCTCTCTCTTTTTCTCTCTCTCTCCCTTTTGAATAATAGAGAACTATCCTAGGATGTAAATCGGTAATGTCTTCTCTAATTCATCAATCAACTAGATATAAGAGGTTTAACCAAGTAAATCTGAACTGTCATAAGGGCAATTTCTGTAACTGGTACATAAAAACATATAGGCCAATTTTAAAACAAAAACTCAGTCAGTTGGTGAAATCTAATATTAGAATACATATATTTTATATTGGAGTTGGCCAATTTTAAAACCAAAATTAAGTCAATTGATTAAATCTACTATTAGACTATATTCTATATATGTAACCAGGAAATCTGTATAATATATAGTGTTATGTTTGACAATCCTCTTTATATAACAAACTATATCGATATTTTAATTTCAACATCCACCATGAAACAATTGACTTAAAATAGTAGTGAAATGAAATGGGGTTTAACGTGCTATTGTTCTGCCCCGATTGGGCTAATGAAGACAGGCATATGCCATACAGTGTGCTATGAGGGGAATTTTGCCCGGGCAGCGGCACTATGGCCGACTCTTATATCGAATTCCAATTCCCAAGGGATCTTTTACGGGCACGCCAATTTATACACGGGACCTCGGTTTTTTGTCTCATCCGAACGACTAGACAGCTGTCCTTGTCAGGCCCTCTGTCCTGCACCACTGACAAGGGAAACCACGCCGGAAATCAAAATAGTAGAACTGTGTTGTACAATATATGTTTTTGATTACAACCTATCACTTTCTAAGAAGTCTCATCTTTAGATGATAATGTCTGTCATTGATCCAAATGGTGTGGCTACGATCCCAGGCGTGTACGTGACCAGTAGTGGTGGCCTACCCAGTCCAGTGGGC